TTAGAGAACAATTAATTAGTTATCGATTTTTTTCCGATGTTTTAAACAAAACAATTTACATCGCATTCGGTCAAATAATATAATATATACATATTAATCCTCTATAACAAAATTAATAATTTATTTTAGCATTTTATGTGATGCAGATATAAACAGATTTGCATTTAGAAAAAAAAGCAATACTATCTTCATATTTCGCGATGCAAATACTCCTACATTTGCATTCCGAACAGCGACATATTTGTTTTTTTTTTTTTAAATGCGTAATTATATTTGACCGACATTTTTCCGCGATATTATCTTTTATGTTTCTCGATGAAAAGATAAAAATTCGGATGTCGTTGTAAATTGTTAAAAATTGAAATATAAAACCACTGAGAGATTAAAAAAGAATTGTTAATAGATCTACAGATGTGCCTATCAGGTGGTATTAAGCTAAAAAATATTTATAATACGTTGAGCCCATGAAATATCTCCTCGCTAAAATTCATCAAGCTTTCCGTGAGTCTTCAATCATCCGCAAAATCCAGTTAATGCAAACGACACGTACGTGCAGCGAAAAAGCGACGACAATTGACCTGGAAAGCCATCTACTCGTAAAAGCATTGTGACCGCGGTTTATACGAGTCGCGAAAAAGTCGCCGAAGAAAAAGTCGAAATTTATAACTTCGTTTAGACTCCTTACCTCCTGGAGCTCTTTGCGGAATTGAAGGCGGGCCTTTGTTTCGAACTCGTTCCTCTCGAAGTCCCATTCACTGTGGCTGTAAACGCGCGACAACGCGGTTCGTCACTGTCGAATTCGCAATTTTTTTTTTCCTCCACGAGCCACATTTGATACAGCTACACATGAGAGCTTTCACAGTTGGCAAGTTGATTCTCGTCTCGATTTCGTCAACGAAGGGTAGAGTCTTTTTCTTTCCGTGTCGTCCACCTTTAAGCACATCGTGCGCAGAGAAAACATCGCGATAATAATGAGAGACATAAAGCATGATGAAACACGAGATATTCCAAACGCGTAACATCACGGCGGATCTGTTATTTCAGAAATATATCCAACTCGAAACTTCGTAGTGCCAAGTTACACAACGTTCAAACTTCGGAGTCCGTGAGATAACATAAGGCGCACGATTAAATGTTGATACAAGGGCGACGTTCCAATTTTCGGCAAGGAGAGATCGTTCGAAAGCGATGTTTATATTTTGCGCGCGCGATTCCAAAGTGACGAGCGAAAGAAATATATATAATTTTTTTTTGTCTGCTTTAGATGTCTCTTTAGATATTCCATGGGAGCAGCGAAGAACTGAGATAATAATCCATGCGCATATCTCGGAAACAAAGAGCGCGACGCTGTTACTACGCGAGAATGCAGATCTTGCACGCCGTGCGATGTGCACACATATTCGCGATAAATCGCGGTACTGAGACGAAAGCACATACACACACACACACACACACACACACGCGCGCGCGCGCGCGCGTGCGCGCACGCACATCTTGAATCCGTGGAAATTTCTGCGCGGGTGCTTCATCTCGCCGAGGCGACGCGACGCGACGCGACGCCTGGCGTCTATTACGAATTCAGACCGCGCAATGCATTAGAGAGACATTAGTATTCGCAGTCTCGATACGTATATCCCGACGTGATGTGTTTCATGGAATCTGTAACGCCGACCTCAAAGGATCCGCGTCTCGCCCTCGGCATTGTATTATGGACCGTAGGGATGATAACGCATCGTCTCCGTTGCCCCTCGCGGTAATCACTTCCGTTGTAACCACTTGCGTAGTCAAGTACCATCGAGTACGCACATGTACATTCCGACATAGCATTACGTATTATTCAACCACGAGCAACGCGAGGGTCTTGAATGAGGCAATTGCGAGTCACTAAGAAGGCGCATTTTCGCCCCATGGTTTGCGACTCTCACAGAGTTGTCTCTTCATGTATTTTACCCTTTTTAAATAAGGATGTCGAGACTCTCAATTTGGAGGGATAAATGTTATAATTTATTTAATAATTTTAGTTAACGAATGTCTTGAGGATCTCGCATTAATCATATGGAAAAAGAAGTTAATTTTCACATATAATAACGTGACTTATAATGTGATGAACAAAAGTTATAGACACATAGCTTAGTAATAGATAGTTTTTGATTATCATGTATCAAAAGTGCTTTGTGAACATAAATTTTATACTTTTATTACATAATAAATAATATCAATTCTTTTCGCTCGTATAACTTACAATAAATTAATAAATAGTAAAATCCAGGTTAATGCATTAAACGAATTATAGTTAGATATAAATAATATTTAATATAATAATTAATGTTAATCACAAATTATGCCCCGTTGAAACTTATCGTCGGAAAATTATAATTTGTGATTAATAAATATTATTTAGTACTCTTAATTATAGTTCGTTTAATGTTGGTATAATAATTGATCTGGGTTTTACTATTTATTAATTTTTTATATCTTTGATATACCGTAGCTCAAAAATTGTTATCGAGCCTTGTGTCTGATATTTATTCACCACATTATGCAAGCTATAATACATTACATGTGAAAACTAACTCGTTTCCATCAGAATCTATTTTCTATATAATTAGGGATGGACGTATTAATTATAGTAAATTGAGTCCCAATAAAATGAGTTAGTTTTACATATAGATAATGTAGTTTATAATTTGATGAACAAAAGATAAAAATAGCTTCGATGCACCAAGCTTAAAAATTATCGAGCCTTGCATTTTTTGTTCACATTATAAGCTGTATTATATGTTAAAATATAACTTATTTTATTGGAACTCAATTTACCATGTAATTAGTATTATATTAATGATGTGAAAATTAACTTAATTTTAATATAATTAAAGCGAAGTCCTTCATCAGGATAGAAATAAAGACATACGATTTCTTGTTCCTCTTTAACTTCTTCGAAACATTGAGCTGGCAAGCGAAATTATTGTTCAGGACAGTTTATAACGGCACGAACGATTATGACAGTTCTGGAAGATATTTGCTAGAAAACGTTATTGGGCAATCGCCACCATATTAACTGGTTAAAGACGCGTGAGGAAGCATTCGCAATTTGTATCACGGACGAAAGCATCGATGTTTCGTATCGAAATAGATGACGGCGTGTTTGTACTCGTGCTGGGAAGCGGGCAGAAATGAGAAAGAGAACGAGCTTTATGACGATCATAAAGATTCTATCCTACCAAGCGCTGTTGTATCGCCCTCGTGTATTGTAATGATTCTAATCTCAGCAAATTCGCAGTCGTTTTAGTATACGGAGTTTACACGGAGCACGTACGCGTGCCTGAAATAGCTCGTGATAATGTAACGAACCAATTATACACGATAGGGCTCCTGCAATGAATGTGTTGTAATTCAAATTTTTGGATCATAATACGTTAAAACTTAAGATAAGAATTAATTTTAAAGACTCTCGGAAGGCGTAACATTCTAGGGAAAAGATTCCCAGATTCTTGGAGCTCAAAAAATTTATCCCAAAAATTAATATTTTAATATCTTATCTTTGAATATTTTAATGGCAAAAAGTTGAAATTTAAAATGAAATGTGTAATAAAACAAGTAACAAAATAAAAATACTTTAAAAAATGAAATAAAATCAATAGAGCAGCGTATCATTATTTTGACTAAATTTGATATTTCATTTTTACTAACTTTATCTCTTACTTGGTTTATTAACCTTCTTTTTGTTTCTTTTGCTTTGTTCTTATAAATTTTATATTGATATACAAAATGCAGCTGAAAGGAAACGTAAAAAAGGTATAAATAAAATCGATCACAAATAAGGAAGGAAGAATATTATTTAATTGAATGCGTACAATAATGCATCTTTTGATGAGGCCGTTACGACGTATCGAATATCCCTCTATGGAGAGGTGATACACTTACATAATATATTCTGCTAATCATTTTTTTACATTGAACAGCGACACGAGCCGAAAAACACCGCTGTTTACAGGAAACACACTCGTCCCTGCAATACACGTACAGCAATTATAACTTACATACTGGATATACTTAAGCACCAATTATTCTACTTCCGATAACAGCGTCATCGCTCGGATGGCAGAAACCTGTTAATCACAGGTGCAAGAACAACGAGTCAATTAGTTCAAGCTACTTTATTTAAGACACTAACAATTTCATTACTCGTGCAGGTGGCACCCTTCAAGCACAACTACTACAACTACAACTAGGTCACAGTATCACTCTCTTCACAAGAATGCCTTCTTGTCAAGATAGTTTATCCGATATTTACTTAATTCGTCTGGTGTCTCGATATCGATATCGCGGCATTGTAGGATGTTGTTAATTAAAAGTCAGTCATATACATTTACATTGGCCTTTCGTATTATCATATTGGATATTCAAGTTTCCTATTTTAAATGTGTCTCATTTTAAATAAATTTGATTTGATCTAAATCTTATTTG